ATTGTAGAAATATTACTTATTTGCCAAAATGAGGTCGACGAACTAACAATATATGTTGATTGATAATAAACCCTCAATTTCACCTAGTCAAATTGACTTTATTTATAATCGTTTCTTTGCAATAATTTATCTTGATATGCTTTCATGGTCATACAATAATCGTAATCCAAAATGTAACAATCTAATAAAATTGTCTGTGAGGCTACATGGCATTTTAGTGGAATACGTTTTGATTAAAAACAATATCGAACAAACAATCCTATGCAATTGTATTTTTGTTTTCAACTACAATATCACTTCAAGCTGGTTATTTATGAGAAGATATCTTTTATTCGATTAAGAATGAAGACCACTAACTATTACAGGCAATCAGAGACAATATGCATTATGAATTAGTATGTTCATGACTGAAAAGTTGTTTTAGAGTCTTTAAAGGTGTTTGCTTATATTAATATCAAATAGTTTAATTCTTCATTAATTATATCAAACTTAGCATTTTCGGAATAAGTCAAGAAGAAAGGGCAATAAGTCCTTTAATGATAATGTGCATCCCGGAATAACAGACCATATCACAAAACGTATTGTGACCGATTTTTTGAAAAACGGGCATAATTTAAACGTTTGGCATTCTAATATAAAAGTGATTCATTTGCACAATTTATCACATTAATATCTGAGAAACAATACACAACAACGATGCACTGATTACATATTTTTTGTATTGATGAGGAAGATAACCTCAAACTTATAGCTTAGAAACCCAAATCATATACTTAAATTCATGTTGTATTATTTTCTGTTGCATTGTGTACTCCAAATTGTGAAATGGATTTTAGTTTTTGGTAATTGTTTGACCTCTGCTTATGACAGGCATATCTTCTGGATAAATGTATTATCTCAAAGAAACATATATACAACGAATATTAGTAAAGTCAATTTGACACGGTGATATCGAGGGTGGTATAACAACTTGTATATTAATAAACAGAACTCTTGACAACTCAACAAAGTACGCGATTTTAAATGCATCTTGGATTAACATTTCTGCATGGCAAATAAAAATAACGGATATATTGTTTTCAAGTTAGATTAGATGTGATCCGATCATTTCTTTTAAATCGGAAATGCTATCATTAAGCGTTTAATAAGAAATAATATATCTGTATGGCATTGTTTTAATATTGTATGAAACCTCGTCTGTGGTATAAGCAATTATTTCAGAATAACTGATCGCGACTAGCTACCGATCACCAGCGGGTATGTCAGCGAATGCAGTGCCTGTAAGTGTAATTACATTTTACTGAGGAATTCAGAAAAGCTTGATATTGCTGAATGGACATCATGGATGCAAAGTGTCGTGTTATTTGTTGTTGAGTTATTTGGAGTAAGATCAAACAAATATACACATCGTTTGGGCCTATAAATTGCCCCGGGTATTTTATGTATACTCCCCTCAAGCATGACCTTAATAGTCTATGGTATGAAATCTCCAGGACGTCTAATAAAGGAGCTGGTAGAAGCACACTTTAGCGCAGCGATATTTGGCTAACCAAAATAACATACCTACATAATATGTTTCCTAATAATTTATATTATAACCATTTAATTTACTCCCGGCTTTTAGGCTGAATTATTCCTGTCATTAGTAGAGAGGTAAAAACATTACCAAAAACTAAAATCTCTTTTCACGATTTTGGAGTACACAATGCGACAGAAAATAATACAAACTGATTTTAAATGTATGGTTTAGATTTCTTAGCTATAAGTTTGGGGTTATTGTCACATCAATAGAAACAATTATGTATAATCAGTGCATCGACGTTATGTTTTGTTCTCAGGTATTAATGAGATAAATGGTTCAAATGAATCCCTTTTATATTAGAATTACAAATGCTTACATGATGCTAGTTTTTACAAAATGGGTCTCAATACGTTTTGTGATATGGACTGTTATCCTGCGTTGTACATTATAGATAAAGGAGGACTTATTGCGACTACAGCTAAAATTCTATTTCTCATAGTTAGATATTGCTCAGTTGCCTTTAAACAACCGTCAAAACTTGGTCGAATTCACGAATCTTTGAGAAAAATCGTTATCATTATTGATTGATAATTTAATTTTTTATTATTGATGATAACCAGCAGTAAGGTCAAATATTCCACACAACAATTTCGATACATGTATTTACGTTTTTAATGTTGCTGCGCTTATATTATGTGCTACGGATCCTTCATATTCCGAATTCATACCGTGGACTATAATGTCCACCTGTGAGGTGAAGAACCTACTAGTGTTCCGAGGTGCTACTATTCATATTCCCATCGTATCGCAATTTGCAAATAACACCCATGATGACAACGCTCACGCCGGCTGAAATATGATTTTGTTTCAGATGTAAGAGGGTAATAGTGGATATACTTAATTTAAATATATTTTAGTGATGGCTTAAAAATATATTCTATGTGTACAGAATGTCCCGAAAGTATGCCCCCCCCCCACGGCAGTCATATACCAGTGTCGTCATAATATGCGTCATATTGTCATTCAAAGCATATCCAAAATTACATTGATTTGCCAAGTATCATGGTTCAACTCTCAAATGGGAAAATAGTTACAGTCCTTTTAGAATTTAGTGTTTGGCCAAAATAATGTCCAATTTTTCTCCACATTTCTAGTCAATGTGTGCTCCTTTGGTCAGCAGCAATTTCTTTTGGATATGACCTTGAAAGCCCTTCACATAGGCCAAACAATAACTTTTGAAATGCCTGTAAATTGTTCACATTTGCGAGTTGAACCATGATAATTTGCGAATTAATGTAACTTTGGATAAGCTTTAAAATGACATATAACGACGTGTAGCAAAAAGGTGGCGCATTTGTTTTTTAAGGGTATCGCGTGAATGTAACTTTGATTCCCCGGATTATAAGATAATATTCTAATTAAAGTTATATATCATTTTAAAGCTGTTTCGATGACGTTTTTAGATCAACTACACTCCGTTCACGATTCTTGCGCGTTCTTTTTAAAAATAGTTTTTTACCAAAACATCTGGCAAATATCCCCTGTTGATACGTTACATTTTGAATTATTTTTCGTCGTTAAAAGCTCATTGATTTATAGCAAAAACGTTGATTTGTGCCTGTTGATGGCCTTGCGCCTTTTTTAATAGATCTCATACCTTAGATGCGTATCGTTTCAGAAAAAATCCCAGAAAACCTAGCATAATCTTCCATACCGTGCGCCTATCCATTTAGCAATTCAATAGTAAACTTTTTCTTGAAAAAATAAATATTATGACGACACTGGTATATGTCTGCCTAGGGGGGCATACTTTCGGGACACCCTGTACAGTACATGGTGTAGGAGTTCCTATGCAACATTTTGTACATAATTAATGGACCCAATACCCGTGTGTAGTATTGTATGTCCTTATTTAGCACTGGTCAAATTAATGTGATTCTATTATAAACAACGTATATTATCACTGATGAAACATTTAACCATATCAACAAGAAAAGCCTTGCTGGAATGATAATAAAAATAGTAAAATCAGAAAACTGTCAGTGGACTGATGTGCTACGTGAGGCGTTGTGTATTATATCGATTCATTTGGACAGTTTATAGTTGTAGAAATGGCCTTGGATATCATGCACTTACATCGCTATTAACGAATCCTTCGTTCGGATTGAGCACTGTTCTTAATCTAAACAGGGGATTAAAATAGAAATCACAACATGTTGGTGAATAAATAGATATAGACGTAGATTTGCAAATACATTTTTAGCCTAGCATTTTGATTTGATTTGTCTTGGTGGTTGATTCATTTAATTAAATTGGTTATGAATGGATGTGTCTATTTGTCACAAATTTGCTTAAAATAGTTCGACTCAAGCCTTTTTACGGTAAAGAAATCGGTAGGGAAGTTGACATAAACACTCAAAAGAGAAATTTCAAAATTCAAAGGTTTTGTCAATTGCATCTCCTTCTTTTGGCAATGGTTCAGGTTAAGGAAATCCTACATAAAACTCCAAAGTTTCGAGTCGAAAAGAAAATTGTCTTTCAATAATTAAACTAGAAATAAGTGCGTCGCTAGGATTGCGCCTACCTATTTAAACCTTACTGAATCTACTTTCTCGCAAAACAAAAGTTTATTACCTTAAAGGAGCTGTATGAACTACATGTACTTGAACAATGGTACCAATACAGCACTGTTGGTTTTTAATAAGTGCTTTGCCCCTTGACTTCAACCCAAGTTAATGTTAGAAAAAGGGTTGTCTGACTAGTTGTCTGCAGGTTCTACAACATGGTCATAGACACTGGCAAAATTTGGGCCCATTTTTTGATTTTAGGGGCTCGATATATTTTTGCCTCGCGAGCGTGGAATTGTTCTTGCTCTTATGAACTCATTAGTTCAAAATCCATATCTAATTTTTGTTTGAAACAAAACCAGACTTTATTTAGTCCACAAAATATTACTAACTTTAAGACATTTTGAATTTTAAAATGTCATCATATGACAAACACATCAACGTAAACAAATTCAAATATGTGTATACACGTTCATCACAGGGCATTTGCGTAATGTTCAGATATCTATGACAGTGACTGTGTCAGAGTATGATGATGAAATTACAATTCGCCTGTGTTTAATAGACATCTGACATTGTTTCAACAAGCTTATTTTCAACTTAGTTTGAAAATTCACAGACCATCATTATAAAACGATATATCAACTCAACTGAACAAAACAGAAAGCTTCAGAAAACAGAAAACAGAAAACATTCAAGTTTATGAGTGTCTCATTCTTCGCTTCTCATCTTAGGCATACCCAAGATTCATTTTTCTGCTACAAGCGCTGTAGTAATGTTATTTAAAGAATTATGTTACGTCATCAATTATAATAAAACATTATCAAAGCACGATATCTACTCGATATAGTTTCTAGATCCGATATAAATACTATTGATACCAATATCCCACACATTTATTTTATACTCACTGGGTCTAGGATTGTCTGGCGGGCGTTTAGCAGTCGTTTGCTGTATAACTACTATACTGATATATAATAGACATAATGTCAACCGTAAGCACACCTTCATGTCCTGAAAATGAGGAAATATCCAATGTACAATGTCTTCTACTGATACTGATCTAAACGTATAATCCATCTATAAATTGTTTCCATTACGTAGAACGGAAGTTTATATTTCATCGGCTTTAGTTTAGGGCCAGATAAAAATATAATTAAATCTCAACAAACAAACAAACAAACAAGCTAGACGTAATAGTGAAGAGATTCACATTGTTTCAGCTCATAAAATTAATAGTAATTGTATCAGTCAATAAACATGTGGTTTTGAATAATATTAATGTAACGCTTACCGTCATGCTAAACCTCCACTCTGCTTCGTAGTATTGAAGTGAAAGACTCAAAGAGCAGAATCGCAGTATTTAAATCCAAATAATCTTATTTATCTCAACACTTGCAGTGATTAGTGTCTTTAATAAGTCTAATACGTCATGATCTCCCGGCTTGGTAGAAAAACAAAGCCACTGAGAGTTAAAGGCGATGTTGAAAGGCAAATTGTCCTCTGTGTCAGTCCAGTTGATACCATTCAACCTTTTCCAAGGTAATTTATACAGATCTTCTAATTAAGCACCATTGTACTGCTTTCTTATGTAAATCATAGAGATAAAAGAACTATTTAAAGACTACAAAATGCTATAATGAATAGACGATGATAAGCTATGATATCAACGAAGGCTCGGTAAATGTGGGATAATATCGATGAACGAAATATGACAGTGATCTATAAAGCTAATAGACGGTAAACGTTAAAACAACTCCCATATATATAAGAATGGAGTAAATGATTTAAAATCAGATAAACTATACCGGGTGTCACACATACAGGGTGGGCCAAACTAGCCAATATTCCTGATAAATATTTATTTTTTAACAAACATACCAACAATGATATATCATCTTAAAGATAATTAATTCAATTTGCAACAAAATGATGTATAATAGAACAATTTTCAACAATCCTGGCTCGAGATATAACCATTCATGTGACATCGGGGTCAAAAAACACCTTCTCAATTTTCATCGATTTTTAAAAAGATTAGCCAATTCTACCCAATTTTACCATTCAATTAAAGATTGCATCATTGTCACGAGACTTTCCTAACTGGATATTATACATTGGTTTCATTCTGTTTTTGAACCGCACGTGTTTAAAATACATGTGTTTGCTTGTAAATCAAATTCATTTTTTCTTCAGCCTATCCATTAAATGGCTCAATAGGCCCACCTTCTGTTCGGATTATTCACATAATACGCGAAAGTCATTGGCATAATTGATGGATCTCTGCGAAAGTACCATCCAACTCCTAATTATTCATTCTTTCAGTTTGTCTACATCCCTGATAGGCTAGTGATCTTCATAGACCAACTGCTCTAAATGCCCCAAGTACTATACATGTAATCAACAGGATAGACTCTATATATCAGTGAGCAAGAAGAGTGACATTTGCGATAAAAGACTACTCAAATCGAGATGACATTTTTCTGAAAAGGTTTTAGTGTCACTAGGTGTTTCCTAACAATTTAGGTGTTTTACATGTAGGTGAAATCAAAATGCATAAAATGTAAACCTACTTTTAATAAATTTCAATATTTCTTTGTCGGACAGAATTCCTACATTCATCAAATTGATACCTTTTAAGGAAATACATTAAGGATTCCTACTTAATTCGGTGGAAACTTAAAGACTTAAATCGTCCCGATTTTATGCGGGACTTGACAAATGTAGTGTTGCCATTATTTAGGGGCAGCACTGGTCAAACGCAGGGCTCCAGAGTTCGTTCTTCCTTTCTTATTGGTATGGTGTGTATAGAACGGAGAGACTACAGATGAGTTTGGAACTCCTGCTTTAGGTGCTTGAGACGAACTAAATGAAATAACCAACTGAGAAGGTTCATAGTTGTATGGAATGATGTATAATGACACAACTAACGATGTATTTATCCATGTATTCTTTATTTCCAATTGTTAAATTTTAAGTTCATCTATCTACCTAAGAGACCATATTCGAATACCTATGTTCCCTTATTAAAATTTCTTGCCATCATTCAATATTTATATGCCATCTAGTATTTAGCACATACTAGGCTAATCGATTAAGTTAATAAATGTAAAGGCTAATCATTAGGCATTGATGGACACATTTAAACTATTGAATATTGTGTTTTATAATGCAGGGTTTGAGAATGTTGAAAGAGACAGTATGAAAATGAATATTTCATAACATGTTCAAATCTGCTTTTATTTCTCTTCTCGTTCATGTGGAACAGGTGTTATGCATAAATCTTGTCCGCTGGTATTAACAAGCGTCCAGCGTGTCGTATATATCCATATACTAACTACTACATAAACGAGGCTATCAATAATCTCGTATAAGATTCTGCAATTTTCCAATAGCACACCGGAATAGCATGACAACGGGAAGGTCAGATACCGTCGCTTCAATTCGATTTTCATGAAGTGTATATTTAATAGAGCACCTAGGCTAAATTTCTTTGGAACAACAATCAATCAAAGTGTCTTTAACTCATTGTACATTTAATAATTTTCTGCCATCGAAATAAAGTCTAATTTAACCGAAATGATATACGGGACAATGTATTACCATATGCCGTTGTCTTTGTAAATTATTTCAAATTCAGATTCTGTTGTCATTGACGATATCGAAGACGCTATCTTATAGCGATTTGCAACCCAATTCAAAATTTGGATTTCATACGATACATCATGTCAATATAGACAATCACTATTTTCAGTTAGATTGACCAACTTTACTTACAGTTATATTGACAATTATTCTGTACAGTTATTGGCAATCATTATGTTAAGTGATATAGACAACCTCTATGTACAGTAATATTGACAATTATTCTGAACAGTTATATTGAGAATCACTATGTACAGTAATATAGACAATCACTATGTGCATTATGTTGACAATCATAACATTCAGTTATCTTGACAACCATAATGAACTGAACTGAACAATCATTCTGTACAGTTATATTGACAATCATTATGTTCAGTGATATAGACAACCACTTTTGTACATTTATATTGACAATCATTACTTACAGTTATATTGACAATTATTCTGTACAGTTATATTGACAATCACTATATACAGTAATATTGACAATCTTTATTAACAGTTATATTGGCAATCATTCTGTATAGTTATATTGACAAGCATTGTGTTCAGTGACAATCACTATGTTAAGTAATATTGACAATCATTACTTACATTTACATTGGCAATCATTTTGTACAGTTATATTGACAACCATTTACCATGGTGCTCAGTGATATTGACCTGTTGACAATCACTATGTACAGTAACAATATTGACAATCTTTATTAACAGTTATATTGGCAATCATTCTGTATAGTTATATTGACAAGCATTGTGTTCAGTGACAATCACTATGTTAAGTAATATTGACAATCATTACTTACATTTACATTGGCAATCATTTTGTACAGTTATATTGACAACCATTTACCATTGTGCTCAGTGATATTGACCTGTTGACAATCACTATGTACTGTAACAATATTGACAATCATTACTTACACTTACATTGACAATCATTCTGGACAGTTATATTGACAACCATTGTGTTCAGTGACAATCTCTATGTTCAGTAATATTGATAATCATTACTTACATTTACATTGGCAATCATTATGTACAGTTGTATTGACAACCATTGTGCTCAGTGATATTGACAATCACTATGTACAGTAACACTATTGACAATCATTACTTACACTTACATTGACAATCATTCTGGACAGTTATATTGATAACCATTTTGTTCAGAGATATTGACAATCACTATTTGTAGAAATATTGACAATCATAATCTACACTAATGTTGACAATTGCTGTGTTCGGTGATATTGGAGTCCATGTTTGGAGGTTTCTATTAGACTAAGACTTGTATGTCTCCGACAATGTTACTATTCTAACCTCTTCAATCTCCTAAAGCATTATGAAGATGAAATCTGGAAATCAAAAACTCCATATCATGTTTATAATGTACATGTAAATTCAGAATCCCATAATAATAGCTTTTAGACGGGTAGGAAGGAGGGGTTCCCGTGCACCCGAAAGATGTATTTTTTTAATGTACATTTTTGTAATCCTAAAGGTCCATACTAAAGATTTCTGCATGTTCCCAGAATGAAATATTGTCCCATGGTATCCATTGGCGGCCAGCTTGTCGGCCATCTTGAATTTTTGAAAGAGTCGATGTTAATTATCTCAAAGTACAATAGCTTCCACAGTTTTTAGAATTGAAAGCTGTAAGTGGTACCAAAATGAAGCTATTATAGTGTCCCATATTATAAGGTGTAATAATTATGCAAATTGTCTCATTTGCATAAAATGTGACATCATTAATCGTAATTTTTGCCTCTTTACAACGATATCACACAATACCTTGCTGCCTGGGTAACCAGTCTTAGTCATCCAAGAACATAAATGAATTTAAATATATAGGTACATTAATTTTGAACATATTTGCAATTGAAAGTTTTGGAAAAATATTGTCAGACACTAAGTAATAACACTTCACATGAGTATGTTACTGAAAAGGGGCGTGGCACTTCTTGAGAAAGAGTTGATTTTAATCATTTCAAAGTACAATAACTTCCAAAGTTTTGAGAATTGAAAGCTGTAAGTGGTACCAAAATGGAGCTAATATAATATACTTATAAAAAATGCAATGATAATGCAAATTTTTCCATAATATGTGACAACCTCTATCATTTTTGACTTTTTTTCAATGGTAACGACCAATATCTCTCCCTCTGGGTAACAGTCTTGGTTATTCATGAGCATTTATGATTTTGAATATATAGGTACATTAATTTTGAACATATTTGCAAATGAAATTTTGGAAAAACTTTGTAAGAAATAAGTCTTGACACTTCACACGATTATGTAACTGAAAGGGGGGAGGGGGGAGGTTGGCACTTCTTGTTCAAAATGTTAACTTCTAAACACTAATGTCAACTTCAGAGGCTGAAGCTGCTCTAGCATAGTCATGTAGATAGAGCCCAATGTTGCTTATTGTAAAAATGTTGGCCAAATTTAGCAGCTTGTGTGCACTGCTAACAAGTACATGAAGTGTTCATTATGATAGCGTAATTCCAATATGACAGCACAATACAAATCAGGCTATTTTATTGTTTATATGCAAAAGTCGATCTGATGAGACATGTTAGAAGTGGTAGTGGTTAATAATGCCCAGATCAAAGAAACGCAAGATAGATATTGAAGATAGGCCTACATCAAAGTATGGGCATCCTCAGCT